AAATTTGGCATGATGATAGCTCACATTCCCGATTAACATATAGGCATATTCTTAGTTCAAAAATCCTTTCGGGCTCCGCCCCAGTGGCTCTGGAGTTTCCCATGTTAACCTTATGAGAAATGGAATTATTGAATCTTAACAGCTGTTTCAATTAAACAAGTTGGTTCTGTTCTATGATGTTCAATGGCATTAAAGTTACAAGGATTACCAACAGGGTGCAGCACTATTACTTCTTTTACATTTATGACAACAGCTAATTTGCAACCAAAAGGTGAGTGAGAGTAGCGAACGAAATTCAACCTGGAGGCGAGTTAGCGTAGCGAACGAGCTAACCTGAAGGCAAGTGAGTGCAGCGAACGAGCTCCAACCTAAAGGTGAGTGAGCGTAGCGAACAAACTTCAACCAGGACGTGATTGAGCCATGCGAACGAGATAATCTTGAAAATTAAGAAGTTAAACGGGACAGAGCCCGCGGGTTACAGCTATTTGAATATAAATATATCTTCTCTAGCTGCATTACGTCCAAGTACTGAAACAGTGGTGCAGCTGAGTCAAATTTCTTTACACCACAAATAGTTTTTAATGTAAGCTTTTGCATTATTACAATTGGTTTAAGTATTGTTGAAAACGTCCCTCCCCAATGAATTAAACCATACTTAAGAGTAGATTCAAACCAGGATAAATAGCGTTCTAAGAAGTTTAGGAGTAATAAACTGTCTCAAATGAAAGAAATTATAGTTAATTTTTCTACGTTTTTTACGTAGTTGATTAACATGTGTATGCCATTTTAAATCTGAATCTATATGAAGGCCAAGATACTTGACCGAATCAACAAAATTTATTTTTGTACAGCAACAATCACGAAAACAAGTAACTAAATGACAACGTAGATCGATCTCTTCTTTCAACGACTCTGTCAAATGAGGTTTGTAAGTAAATATCATTGCATTAGATTTAGAAGTATTGACGATTAATTTGTTTCTTATCACCCAATTTGATATTACGTCCAAATCATTATTAATTTTCATCCTCAGTAAATCATAATTGTTAGCACTGCATACTAAAGATGTATCATCAGCAAAAGCATATATCTTCGATTTTAAATCCATTGATAACATGTCATTAATATAAATTGTGAATAAAATTGGTCCAAGCACTCCCCCTTAAGGGACGCCAAGCCTTTGAGAACATACATCTGAGTAAACGTTTTTTATTTTAACCATCCGTTTTCTTTCATTTAAAAAAGTCTCAAACCACTTAAAACTATTTCCCTGAATTGCATATAACTTTAGTTTATGTAATAATATGTCTTGATTAACTAAGTGAAATGCCTTAGTAAAGTCAAGATAAACTCCTATTGTTGGTTTACGCTCATCAACATGATTAACTATCTCGCTTATATGTCTTTCAACTGCTAGGTCAGTATTTTTACCTTTCATGAACCCAAATTGATTATTTGAAAATAAATTGTTATCTGAAAAATATTTAACTAATTGGCTTTTCACACAAGTTTCTAACAGCTTAGCAAAGGTATTTAAAAGTGATCGGTCGGTAATTATTCATTTGCAATGGATCAGCTGCCTTATATACTGGAACAATGAGTGCTGTTTTTAGACTAGAAGGAAAGTAACCTAGCTTTATACATAAATTAAAAATGTGACGTAATATTGGGACAAAAATCTTAACATTTTCTTTTATAGTATTTATGGAAATACCATCAAAGCCAACAGACTGTTTATTTGGTTTGCTTAAGATTAAACTTTCTAATTCTACCTCAGTAATTTCAGATAAACGTAACCTTGAGCTGCACGCTAGACCGATATCCGGCATGGCGGGGAATCCCGGCCCATACAATTCTCTAATCAGCTTATCCGGCATACCAGTAAAATTGTTATTGAATGAGTCAGCAACTATTTTTTCATTACCCTCAACCTGTACAATTTCATCATCTATATTAATCGATGTTAGTTCATTTTTTTACTTTCTCATAATAGATTTGCATATATTCCAATAAGACTTTGATGCAGCCCTTTACTGCTTCAATTTTAGATGAGTAATAATTAATTTTTTCCCGTCTTTTCAAATTAGAACATTCTCTAGAGAGTTCTTTATATCTATTAAACAAATGTATGTCATAGTGCTTTTTCAATCGAGAGTGAAGTCTGTTTTTTTCATTTATCTTTTTAATTAGTGTGTCCGATATCCATGGAGTTCGATGCCTATTTTTACTGTTAATAGGCCTTAAAAAACTTGATTGCTCAATACATTTATTATAAATATCGTAAAAAACTGTTAGAGATTTATCAACATCCTCACAATCAAACACTGGCATCCAGCTCACTTCAGCCAACCTTCTTTTTAAAATTGAATGATCTACAGCCTTGACAAACTCCTCTTTCAAAGCACTATCACAACTTGTTACGCAATTTACATTAACTCCAGCATGATCAGTAAAGTCATCTATACTATTATAAAGAAGAGGTGGTGTCTGTGTGTGTGTTTGTATGAGCTAATCTCAAAAACTACTGAACCTATTGGGCTCAAATTGCACACACATGAAGCTACAGTTCCGAGGATACATATAGAACTATTCCCGCTTCAATATTGTCCTAGGGCTCTGCCCCGTGGGCTTTCAAAAATCGGAGGTGAGAGATTTCAAAGTAAATTTTGATTGATGGTATCCATGACAACAAAGAACAAACCTACAAAGTTTAAAAATGTAAACAAGCAGTACTAACTGTCAAATTAATTTTGATTTCACAATTCCATACAGCTGGTTCAAACATTCATTTAAATACTGCATGAATATTAGAACAGAGAGGGTAAGGATCATATTTAAAATAATGATGTCACTATCCTGAATGTAAACATTATTTAACATTACTTAAATGGAGCTGTCAAACCATACGCTAATGTCACTTTATACTTACATGCCAACCCCGTACGAAGGACGGGTACTCTGCTAGTAGTTTTCTAAATTACTATGAAAAATTAAATTAGTCTTACTTCTGATGAATACATGGTCTAAACACTTTACCCAATTTTCTCTCCCCCAAGTTGGCTCATTTATAAACGACTCAAAACCAAATGAGTTCATTATACTTAAATAATCAATGACACTGTTATTTTGTTCTAAAATGCATAAATTTATATCTCCTAACATAATAGCTGTGTTTTTACAATTACTCAAAATACGTTGCAAATCATTGCGGAAAAAATAAAAATCATATTTATAGTTTCTATACAAAGCTATTAAGTCAATTTCAAAAGGTTTATCATTTATGGTAAAAACTAATGTCAGTTTAATTAATTCAACTTCACGTGACTGAAAGCGTTCATAATTTAAAGTTAAATGATTAGAAATATAAATTACCACTCCACCAGTCTATGTGTATAAGTTGAGACACGTTTGTAGAAAACACTAAAAAGGCAATCTTCTAAACAATTTTAAAATATTTACAACTTTAATTATATAGAAATGTTCATAACACAGTAAGTAATTCCATTAGTTGCATAAGCTTTTACGTGAGTCTTTTTAATTAATTGAAAATTAAGTCTGTAATAACTCTTAAAATAGCTCCTGTACCGGTACTTGATAATTGCTTGATTTCTAGCAACGAGTACACAAGTTAAAAATTCAACAATGCATTAACATAACAAGCTCTCTTTCACGCTGCAAGACTAGTAAACGGCAGAAGTAAGGCAGAACGGCAGAACTACGGTATTGGTTTACCATACACGCCTGCAACGATGCGCTGCAAACCGCGCGACGAGTAGCTAAATGAACCGTAGAGTAAGTGAGCCTTCTAATATTTGTAGAGGGTTCACTTACTCTACAGATCATTGTGCCAATGAACTGTAGAGTAAGTGAGCCGTCTTCTATTTGTGTAATAGTTATCATGAAATAGGCTCGTATAGTATACGAGCCTACTCCTGTAATTTATTTAAATTCAGTATTTTGGCTCCTATACTATACGAGCTTATTCCTGAATTATTCAAGAATTCATACGCTTGGCTCATAGGCACAATGATCTGTAGAGTAAGTGAACCCTCTTAATTTATTTGATATTTTTGATTGGCTCGTATAGTATACGAGCCTGTAGTGCAAGTGAACCTTCAATATTATTTACGAAGCTCGTATAGACTATGATTTGTAGAGTAAGTGAGCCATGTGTTTTAAGAATTACATATTTGGAGGCTCATTGTGTCAATGATTCGTAGAGTAAGTGAACCCTAACCGCTTATGCTATGTAATCTGTAAAACGTTTATGTGACAATAAAGATATATTTATTTATTTATTTATTTACTAACGGTTTAAGAAGGCTAGCGTCAGTACAGGGATCTCGGGGAGTATTAAGCTGACCAACTAGCTAGAGGAGTGCTAGTGTCAGTTAAGAGACAATTAGTAGGTAATTAGCGGATAATTAGCAAACTGTTAGGCTGACTAACTAACGGTTTAAGAAGGTTAGCGTCAGTACAGGGATCTCGGGGAGTATTAATCTGACCAACTAGTTAGAGGAGTGCTGGTGTCAGTTAAGGGACAATTAGTAGGTAATTAGCGGATAATTAGCAAACTGTTAGGCTGACTGTCACTAAACAACTTTGGGACGTTGCCAATTCTGCGCGGCTTGTGCTGTAGTTAAAGGTGGCCGTGGGACAGGAGATGAATACAATTTTACATTTAAACAATAATACTTAAATAATATTGCAACTGTATTTTCCAGATCTGTATGAGTTCAAGTGTCTGCCTGAAACACAATACAATTTCTAATTGGTTCTGCACTATAACACGGTTTTGCTTTTAGACACTGTGACAAATTTTGAATTATGCATTATGAGATGTTGCACTATGACACGCCACCATGATTATTGGACCACCATGGAGACATCGTGGTCTCATGGGTAAACGTTGGTTGTACCTTAGAGGCAATGAGAAGGGGAAAAAATTATACATGTTAGTTATTGTTATTCTTCTTCAGTCAAGCCAGCTGCTAGCTGAACGTGTCGTGACAGTGAAAATCTCCAGAACGATCAACTAAGAGGTTAGGTTAGGTTATATACTTATGTAATACAATAAACTCATCTTAATGAATTGAATATTTCTGTTTCGGATTTCTGAAAAAGGTGGAAAAATATTGTAGCGTTTTAGTATGCATTCAGATCTATCCCCTCATTTACATTCAGAAAAGTGCAATTTGTTAATAGCAAAACTGCAGGAATGTCATGAAACGGTAGGTCCTAGGACAACACTATAAACATAGGCCTAGGTGTAGATTAGACTTAGGCCCTACGATAGATGCCTTGACGGTGAGGAACCATCAAAGAACATGTGTTGAATTTAGCTCAGCTTCGTTTAATTTCACAAACCTTTTGTTTAATCAAATTTATGAAATGATATTATTTGAGCAATGGGGGTACAGTTTCTTAACTGGGCTATGCTAATATTGATTGAAACTATCGATTCGATTAGTAAACCTTCATGCGATTTTTTCACTATCAGCAAGTTTGGTTGGTTAGGTTAGGTTATGATAGTTCAATTTTATAATAGATATATTTAAAAATATTGATTATTAATCAATATTTTCAATTCTATAGTTTCAATTAATATTAGCATAGCCCAGTTAAGAAACTGTACCCGAGCAATGGTAAGCCAAGGCCAACTATTCAGTAGGCATACCTATTACAAACCAGGCCTAGGTCTACCTAATATAATTTTTGCATCCCAAGGTAGCCAATAATTTTGTTTGTTGCAGAATCCATTTTTAAAGTTTTTTGGCCAATGTAATGATGAAGATAGACGAATGAGAAGTTGTCTGAAAGCTGAGGTAATTATCATTTAACTCTTTTCTCTGAGACAGGGAGCAATTAAGATGTATTTTAACCCTTTCCTACTAGGGACGTAACTAGGCTATTCAGCACCCGGGCAACATGATAGGCCTACACAGTTAGTCAAGGTCAGACGTGTTGTATATCGATGGGTCAGACCAGCAAGCGTCAATGTGTTAGGGAATGGGCATACGGGAGGGACGATGGCTAAAGTTGTGGTGACATTATATCTATAGTTGCTAATGTCTTCTCTTCAGTAGTGTATTCCAACTTAGGTTGGGCGTTTGTTGTATTGTTAGTTGTAGGGTAATGTGTTAGTTAAGTTTTTTCACCTGAGGACGGTATCAGATTCCTGATCCCGAAACGTTGTGTATTGTTTTTTACTATCGTGATGGAAAATGTCCGCAATAAACCTTTGAACAACAATGTGTTAGTGTTGTGTGTTTGTGGTATGTGTGTGTGTGGTGACTGGTGTGAGGGATGGGGAGCTGAGGGGTAGGTAGTTGCCGGGAGGAGGGTGGAAGTGTTATAATGCTGCGCCGGCGCCGTCCTAGTGACTCATCGACGACAGACAACGCAGTATGCTCATCCTCATACTCGCTCCGTACAAGTTCATAGGGACCGTTTTAAACAGTATAATAATTTAGTCAGATAGCATTCATCATTTCACTTTGACTTTCTTAGACTTATATAAAAATAAAAAATATAATGATTTTCTTTAACAACACAATGCGGATTAAAAATATTTTCAACAATTTTTGTTTGAAAAAATCTGTGCCCGTGTTGGCGCCCCCAATAACTGGCGCCCGGCATAGTTACGACCCTGTTTCCTACCCAAGCATAGAAATACCAGTTAGAACATTTTTGTGTGTGCGTTTTAGGTTGGTTTCATGCAGGGCTTAATTTTTTAAGTGATAGGCCTAAGTACCGGACCCATGACTGACCGGGGTGTCCTCTTCCAGAACTTTTTTTTTCAAAATTGCACTTAAGAATGCACAAGTTACAAAAGTGCAATTAGGTTAAGTTAAGATGCATGGTTAAGTAGTTAATAACTCATAACTTATAAGCAAACATACAACATTAAGGTAAATCACCCAAACTCCGATAGGTCTTGGTTATCTCGGAGGTGTTTTGCTAACATTAGGTTATACTCTTGATTTAGTAATAATGTGTGATGATTTTATTTTTTTTTCAGTCTCATAGGAGTTAATTTAAGACATCAACATTAAATATATTTATACAATTATGTTTGTTTTGTGTTATTTTGTTGTACCTTTCAAAATCCTCACAAAATCCTAATTCCGGTTTTTACATTCCTAATTCCGGCAACCTTGACTCCGACCGGTTTTATGCTACAAAATGAGTTTCTACTAAGGATAAAATATCTCTACTACCCTACGTGATCATTTGTTAAAGACAAATCAATAATAATAATACCACTCAATAGCACGATAGTAGGTACCTAATACCACTCAATGGAAAAAACCAACAGATAAGTGTTTTGGTCTGGGATTAATTAAATTATTTTTATGTCATCTTTTGAGCCCCAATTGTTCAAAGAAAAAAGGTTCTTTGGTGAGGAAGGCAGCTTCGTAATACTAAGGTAACTTTTCAATGAAAGTAAAAAAGCCTCTTTGTTCCAGGTTGGGTGGGGACAAAATCTCTCACTTGTAGGCATGTCATTGTCGACGTCAGGATCTTGTGGCCATACAAACTTATTTCCTTTCTTTGTTAAGAATTTAATTGAAAGAGTCCCATTTTGAATGGACCTTATTTGACCTACAAAATATTCTTTGGTATCATTTACCACGTAGGGAACCACAACCCATGTATTAACCGTAAGGTTATTTAACTCATCTTCTGACAGTGGCTCGGGAGTTGTGTTTAAATAGTCGTGTTTGCTTCCATCTTCAGAGTCAGATGACGAATCTTTCTTCTGTCTCTTGGTGCTTTTCTTTGAAGTTCCAGATGGTTCTTTTTTTTACTAGTTTCTTGGCTTCTCTCATCAGTCTTCTGGTCTGTTCCTCTTCCTTTTTCTTCTTCTCGTCTTCTCTTTTCTTTAAGTATTCCTTATATTGTTGACTTGTAGCAACTGCTGGAATTTTTTCTTTCGATTTTCTTTTTTTTGCCGATGTTGTATCTTCGGGCCAAAACAAGCTTCTTTTAAACGGTGACTGTATGACTTCGTTGTTTTTTTTTTGTGGTGTGGAACAACTTAGCGCGGGAATATTAGTAGCAGATGGCAGAACATTGATTGTGTATGCATTCGAACAGCTCGGCATAGGTTCATCATGGTTAGTCATTGGACATTTTTTAGATGACTCCTCCAGGATGGGTCGTAGGTGGGCCTAAACCCCATGGCAGTGGTGATCTAAGTTGTTTGAAGCCGTGCAGAATGATTCGGCTGTAGTATTGCCTTCCTCAAGGTTGTATCTCACTCCTGTGTGCAAAGAAATTTGGCGCTTTGAAGCACCAAAGTGCATAGATTATATTTCCGAAGCGTATTTGGCTATGTAGTTTTGGGAGAAGTCAACTTGGAACACAAGTTCTCTACTCTTTTAGATTTTTTTCAGTCTCTTCAACACAGTTAATTGATGAATCATTGCATGAACTTTATTTTTAAAAGAAGGCAACAATTTCTTGAACAAATCAATCACTTATGAGATTAGAGCAACTTTCTCACTTTTCACAACCCTCTTCATCTTTTTCACTGCTCCTTTGATTATCTTATCTTCCGTTATCTTTCCCACTTATAGTAGGTATTTGATCTCTTCATCTGTGTAATCACAAAACTTCACACCTTTCAATTTGCACTTATTACAAGCATTCTTCATACATTTCTCATTTTTCACTGAGCAGACTGATGAATTTAAAACATCACTGGTGCTGGACTCTTTAATCACCTTTGCACTTTTTAAAGCACTCACCAAAAATTGGAGATTTTCATGATGCACACAGGCACAGGTTTTTCTGTCACGATTATTTGGCCTGGTTACCCAAAATGGCCTAGATCTGGTGAAAGTAGTGTAACTGATTTTCAAGTTAGGATTTTCCTTAATGAATCGTACAAACATATTCCTTGAAGTGTCCAGGAGAATCCTCCGCTGCACTTTAGTCTTCCCCTTTCTTACATAGTCTCTTTTACCTGGACACATTTTTGATACAGAGTCGTCTTCAAAGAATTTTTCAATGTTTTTACTTCTTTTATCCTGACTGTGTTGTACCTTTTTCTAGTGTATTTGAGGTTTGGGCAGAGTTCATTTGTTGTTAAGTATTGAAGCTTTTTGAAACATTTCCTCTATCAGTAAGCAAATTATAAACGTTAGCGACCTGATTCATAATTAACATACGTTCAACACTTACCTAAATATAAGTTTTTTGTTGAATAATTCCAAAATGGATTTGTTGAAAACAACGCACAAACAAACTCGTGTATCATTCACAGATAAACAGACGACTAAGCCGCCCTTCTTCCCGCGTTTTCGTTGGCTTGGCAGCAATTTCAAAATGCCGTGTACAATCGGCGCCGTATTGCGGGGACGCACATGTATTATCAAATAATGTGTTTTATGTTACTATTGATGGCCGAGATGTAAGGGTAACTGCCCTGGTACATGTTGCAGGTGGGGTCGAACCAGTGTTGGGAGGCATTTTTGTGACAGGTTCGGACACCACGGTTACAGGAAGATCTAGTTCCAACCCCATTGAGACATCCAATCCTAGATCGTTAAACACCCTCGTCCTCAAATATTTCTTCCTCTAATTCCATATTTGATGAAAAATCTGAAATCAATGAGGACGTTTAGCTCTTGTTGGATTGTTGTGGACATCATTGGATCTGGGTCGTCGATGGATTCACTGCAGACAACCTCTTCTCTATCCTCTTCTCTAAATATCTAGATTCACATAAATATCAAAGTTAATACAAACACATATATTGTAAATTACTTATTCGCTAAAGCAAATCCCAATGTTCCTAGTGAAAACCTGTAAGATTCTTACCTGAAATCACTGTGGTCGAGCAACGATAGACGAAACTTGTCATAACGAACTCAGAAAAGGAGGGAACTTATAACTTCTTCTTCATACTTGTAGAAAAAAACATCGCAAATGCATCTGGCTTATAATATAGCCGGTACAGCCGAAAAGGACATTATGTTTTGTTATGAAATGTGGCTGTGTCGGTATTTAGTACATTGTCGGTATTTGCATTTACCTTATGACTTTTTTAAATTTACGTTTACAGATTTTTTACAATAAATATTTTTAGCTTATTTATAAATTTATTGAACCACTTTTATTTTAATAAAAAATATTAAATATTACACATAAGTTACAAAAGCTGTTTAAAGACAAGTTCTTAAAAAGTTGTATACTTTTTTTTACTTGTTAGTGTTTTTTGTTCTACTTTGATTGTGCTCATAAGAAGTTTGGATATTTCTTCATTTAGTTTGGCGGTGATGTTGCATGTCCTTCCAGTGGTTTTTGTCATTTCCAAGGGATTTAATTATCTCAAAACTTTGTTTATAGGCACCCAAGCTTGGTCTTTCTTTTTTTTTCAAAGGCGGTTGTTGTATGAGGACATACATGTTTTTATGTCATACACTATTAAAATTTGTTTCTAATTTTATACGATAGTACTGTATATGTACAAAAAGTAAGTCTTTTTTATCCACAACACTTACATATTTTATGTGAACATTACTGATATTAATTTTTTTTTATGAAATCAGAGCTTGGTCTTAAGTGGTAGAGTTCACTCAACAGGTCTTTTAAAATTCCAGAAGCTGATAATGAATTTAGCTCAATAAGAGTTTAAAAAAATTTGTCACATTTTCCATCCCTTCTAGTTGTGTCCTGATGTTCACGATCAAACGCGATTTGTTGCTTAAAGTGATGTGGATTCGTCGAGAATGAGAGAAAACACTGCACTACTCTCAAAATTTTTTTTTACTAGATCAGCCTTCATTTCGTATATAATATTGGGACATTCTACATT